GCTCTTAACCATTGAGCCCTCTCTCCAGCCCCCTCGAATTATAACTTTAAAAAAAAATGTGTATCAGTGTTTTTGCCTGCATGTAAGTCTATGTGAGGGTGTCAGATTTTAGAGTTATAGTCAGTTGTGAGCTGCCATGTGGGTGTTGGGGATTGAACCCCAGTCCTCTGGAAGAGCACTCAATGCTTGTAAACATTGAGCCATCTTTCCATGCCCAAATTAGTAACTATTTATTTATTTATTTATTTCCTTTCCTTTCCTGTTTCTTTTTTTCTACAGCTGGGCTAAATAGTGCACGCCTTTGGTCCCAGCACTCAGAAGGCAGAGGCAGGTGGATCTCTGTGAGTTCCATACCAGCCTGGTCTATAAAGTTCCAGGATAGCCAGGGCTATAACACAGAGAAACTTGTCTTAAGAAAACTAAAACAGAAAACGAGTTCTCATGTAGTGCAGGCTGGCTTAAAACTTACCACAGACAACAACTGACGTCTGGTCGTGCTGCCTCCACCTCCCAGGGTTTACAGGTGTGTACTAACACACTCAGCATTTGTTTGTCTTGAGAAAGTCTCACATAGCCCAAAATGGCTATGGACACTTGATCCTCCTGCCTCTGACCTCCAAGTGCCATGATTATGGGCATGTGCTGCTAGGCCTGGCTTTCACTACACTTCTGGAGAATAAAAAAACATGTCAGAGAAAATATGGGCTACATTCAGCCTGCAGACACCAGTGATTTTCCCCCTCTGGTGTGGCCCAACCCACAGAGGGTTTCCTGGAAAAGCAGCTCTGGCGGAGGATTGCAGAGCCTCCCACAGTCCCTCCTAGACTCTGCCAATGGAATGTATTCTCATAGATCTGTTCCCCGGGCCTCTTTCCCAAAGCAATATACTTTTATCCCAATCCCCAAAAGCTTCTCCAGGGCTACAGACCTCCTAAGCTCTAAGCTTCCTGGGACCCAAGCTCAAATCTGCATGGACAGCTACCTTCTCCACCCATGTGGATACTGATGGCATTTGTCAGGGCTGGTTCTACCTGGCAGAAACTTGGCTTCTTTTTGCAGAGCCTGAAATTCAAGGCCTTATCAGAGACTGGGCTGGAGGCTTCCTCCACTAAACCTTGTCAGTCCCACTAGCTTGTCCTGCTCCTAGGAGTCCTCTTTACTGGAGACACTTCTCCTGAGCGGCTGCTTCAGATTTGAAGGACAGTTCAAGGTCAGTGAAATACACTCAGCCTTCCAGACATGTCAGTGCTATATCAGTCACGTAGGAATAAAATATATTTGGGGAAGATAATTCCTATATTGCCATATAGATTATATTTTTCCTTGTCTTTATTCTAACCTAAACATTACAGCATAAGCTTTTACATTGTATGAAATATTAGAAGAAACCAGAGCTATATTCAAGTGGTATTTTTTATAAGGAATGTAAGCATGCATACTCTGAGGAATCACCCTCTCACAGGGCTATGAGGTGACCAGCCTGTCTCTAAAACTAAGTGAATGGCCTGTCTCCCACTCAAAATACAGATCATAGGTTTTTGAGTCCTGGACAATAGAAAGCCCATGGTCCCTCAGAAGCACCTCTGGGGGTCTCCAGGCTGTGTGAGAAACAGAATAATCTTGGTGTTGCTCTAAGGAACACACAAAGAGAAAGTTTGACAAGGCAATTGTTTTTGTGAAAAGGGTGTGCCAAAATCCAGACAAGGCTAGCCACACACCCAGGCCAACATGGCTCCTGTCTTTTATCCCTGACAGGTGGTGACAGTGTGTCATCCCATCTGTGGAAGCTTGACTTCACAATCTGATACCATTGGCTAATTGGTAGAAGAGCCAGGAATGCTCAGAAAACATGAGTACTTGTTGATTAAAAAAAAAAAAAAAAGTGTTTCTTACATTTACACTGAAGTTCACTGGCTATGAGATTATCATGATTTGGAAAGCACAAGTTATCTTAGTGAGGGTGTCTACTGTTGTGATGAAACACCATGACCAAAGGCAATTTGGTGACAAAATGGCTTATTTCCTCTTACAGCTTGTAGCCCATCATCCAGGGAAGTTGGAGCAGGAGCCTGATGCAGAGGTCATGAAGGGGTGATGCTTATTGGCTTGTTCCCTATCTCAGCCTGCTGTCTTAGAGCATCCAGACCACCAGCCCAGGGGTGTCAACAACACAGTGAGCTGGGGCATCCCACATTGATTGTCCATCAAGAATTCACCATGGGCTTGCCCACAGGTCAGTCTGGTGGGGGCATTTTCTCAATTGAAGTTCCTTCTTCCAAAATGACTCTAGCTTATGTCAATTGACAGGAAACTAGCCAGCACGGAGTGAAGTCAAGATACGTAGGAACATAAGAATGAATGAAAATAAAGCCTTAGGCCAAGCTGGTATTAACCATATGGGGTGGGGGTGGGGCAAGGGAATAAGGATGCTCTTACAGGGCCTCGTGGTTACCCTGGGGTAAAATCCACAGGCTCTGACTGAAGCCTCCTCTGTTGAAACCCTTATTCTATCACTGTGGTGGTTTGAAAGAAAATGACCCCCAAAGGGAGCAGCACTATTAGGTGTGGCTTTGTTGGTGTGGGTGTGGTCTTGGGGAAGGAAATGTGTCACTGTGGAGGTGGGCTTTGAGGTCTCATATATGTTCAAGCCATGCCCAGTGTCTCAGTTCACTTCCTGTTGCCGGTGGATCAAAGATGTAGAATTCTCAGCCCTTTCTCCAGCACCATGTCAGCCTGTACACTGCCATGTCTCACCATGATGACAATGGACTGAACCTCTGAACTCTAAGACCCCCAATGAAATGTCTTTCTTTATAAGAATTGCTGCGGTCATAGCATCTCTTCACAGCAATAGAAATCCTAATTAAGACAATCATTTAGTGGCTCTACTCATGTAACTCCTCTGTGCTGTGACATACCCCAAGCACAAAACTAGGTTGACAGTCCTGTAAAGGCTGCTGGGTATATTAAATGTTAATACAAATAAGTATTTAGGATAACATCTAGTTACATAGTTTGTGTATATGCTGTTGGCATTATTTTTAAGAATGTGGTGGGCCCAAATTTCTTAAAACTAAAATTTATAGGTTTGGGAGGGAAAAAGTTCGAATGAGTAGATAGGAGTGAAAGAAAAAACAAAAACTATACAGATGTCTCTCTGACTCCACAAAACGAACATGAGAAATATGCTTTGGGTGAGAAACTATGCAGAATGTTTAGTATGGAAGTCATACTTGGAGCTGAGGGCAAAATAAACAATGAAGCTGCAGAAAAAAATATTGAACAGTTTTCAGAGGATTCCTTTCTGAGCATGGTCTTGGCTGAACAATTGGGTAGGGCTGATAAAGTTACTTGCTATGCTGTGCCAGCATGGTGGCACACACCTTTAATCCTCAGAGGCAGGGACCTCTGTGACTTTGAGTCCAGTCTGTCTACACAGAAAGTTCCAGGCCAGCCAAGGCTACATAGTGAGACCCTGTCAGGAAGGAAATCTCAATGAATCTACTGCCTGCCAAGGGTTTAACCAGAATGAAGACAAACTGACTACTCTTTCACACTAAAGCAGTGGGTTTCTATTAAACAGAAATAGTGTCAGTTCAAAGTTTTTATTTTTCTAGTGTTGAGAGATTCCACTTATTTAAACCAGCTGTTTGTGGTAAGCACCTGGAGTGTTAGCCACTGGCAAGGCTGAGGCAGGAGAACAGATTGAGTCCTAGAGTTTGAGGCTAGCCTAAGAAAAGTCTTAAAACAAAAATAAAGACAAACAACATATCAAAGCCTGGCACAGTGGTGCATGTCTGTAAGTCTAGCCCTTAGGAGGTGGAGGCAGAGAGATCCTGATTTCAAGGTTAGCTTTAGGTTCATAGGAAGTTTAAGGCCAGCTGGGACTACAAAAGATTCTAAATAAATAAGATTTCTGATATAATAAAAAAAACAAGACTTCACACACTTGCTTATTGCTAAGGTACATGAGTGTAGTACACATGTATATGGCTTTTGTGTGCACACCATGCACACCTCTGTCCTTAGAGGCAGGTCTCTTCCTGAATCCAGAGTGCAAATTCTTTTTTTTGTTAGTTTTTTTTTTTTTTTTTTTTTTTTTTTTTTTTTTTTTTT